GCGGGCGCCCTGGGAGCGCGAGACGCTGCGAGCACCGGCCGGCGGGCGGTTCTGCGGGGTTTGGCCATGTGGTGTTTTAATGGACGGCCGACGTAGGCGCCCATTATTCACATTGTTTGTGTCGTCGTGTATTGATAATGGGAACGGGAGGGAAGTTGATTGTTATGAATGCGAAAGGCGAAATTGGGATAGCGGTAGTGCGCCGTATTAACGTAGCGGGAAGTCGGCGGCTTTGAAGGCTCTAGAGACGATGGTTTGAAAAAGAAGACAAGGCAACGCCATGGGGAGGAAACACGCATCATACAATGTCATTATCTTTTTTTCTCTGTCTGTGTCGGGTCTGTCTGCATTATTCGACGAAATGAAACCTTAAAGGATTGTTTAAGAAACGTGACTCCGAGGGTTAGAACTTACTACATTGGCTATTTATATAAGATAATCGTCTGCGTACTCTTCACGTTAAGCACTTCCATACGCCCACAGATCATTTTTGTGACAAGCGGGCCGTACCTCGAGGCTCCTCCTCCCTCCCCCCCCCCCCCCCCCCCCCCCCCCCCCCCCCCCCCCCCCCCCCCCCCCACTCCCTCCAATACAAACCAACATGGGGTGCCCCAACAGAGCTGTGACTACAGAGAAACTTTATATGCCTTTGTTTTAAATGGAACCTTCAGACGTTTTTGTGCCCTCCTGAAACTTTGAAAACAAATTTACTATACATCTGCCCCGTCCTTTTGTGGCGCCAACGTTCGGGGTCCGTGGATATCCGAGGCCCGTTTTGGTGTCCGTTTTAGTGAACAGTGCAAAGTCATGAGCGCACTTGACTTTTCACGTTATGTTCTCGTTGCATGCGGTCCCATCACTTGCTGAAGTAGGGCGACAGGCCCTTTGTATTTTACTGGCGATGTTGTTTTTGGCTGACCCTGGCTGGAGCCTGTCTGGATTCGTCCACAATTTCAGCGATGATACCGCACGTATCGGTCGCCGGCCCGCGTCATACCCGGGCGGGCCGTTATCACCACGCAAGCACGTCACCGCGGCGCGCATCACACGCGGGCGGCGGTCCCATGCGGGGCAGTAAACACGTGCTGGCTGCCAGTTTTATCAGACAAGCCGCTGGTGACCATGTCATTTCCATGCAACGCTGTCGTGCGATATTGTATTCTGCTTTCAGGACTTGGCGCAATTTTCGTGGCTTGGTTGATGTGTTGCAAAGCCTGAAACGTCGCCTGGCCCGATATGTCGATTTCAAAGCATGCACCCAAGTGACTTTCCGGTGGGCCAGCGTGGTTGCCGAGCTGGCGTGGTGATCGTGGCTGGCCGGCGCGGGGCCTGGTGTGTGACGCGTTCTGTCCGACTCGGCAGGCTTCAGCTGCGGTAACATCCTGGCCGACGACTGTGACCTAGTCCAGCTGTTCAACGCGCACCAAGATCACGCCCGCCCGCCAGTACCTCATCTGGGACAAGTTCACCACTGATCCCAACCCATGCATGGACTTCTAGGAGTCACCCGGTGGCGAGCGGCTCATCCGGCTGGAACGGAGATCTGACGCTCGATAAAATGCGGAAGTGGTTCGATGGCCTATGTATATCCCTTGGTTTGGGCATGTGTCCGCCTCACTGCACGGGTTGAAAGCCAGACTGCTCTCCGCTCATTTTTCAGCATCTCAGTTAGGATTGTTCGCGAATCGACACAGCCAGGGGCACTACCAATGGGTAGAGCGGGGCGGGAGGGGCGCCGGTACTCCGCGCCACTTCCATGGCAACAATGCTGATTGTACTGTTTCATCGGTGTGTTCCCCACAACTCTATGCTCCGCCTGGAGGCCCAGCAAGAAGCTCCAGGTCGTCGGTTGGACCTTAAGTGTCAAAACACGCGTTATCGCTCATGGGACCAGTCCATGTGCAATGAACATGATTACATGCTTCGACGCCTGATTGATCCAATGACACATTTTGTATTAAAACAATTCTTTGTTAGACCTGCATTCGAAGAAACTGTCGGCGAGGATACCATTCGCGCGATCTCAATCAAACACATCAACATTCTTGGGTACACCCAACAGGAGTGGAGACGAGACCAAGGACGCCATCAGATAGAGGAGGCACAAGGCCTTAGAGTGTTCTCACAACACTGACTTACCCTAATATCACTGACAAGTCCAGGACCCTTCGCAAAACTCACAGAACCCCATGGACGAGTCGGTTCATCTGGAACCTCGAGGGACATGACGTCCCGGCCCACCAACGCTGCCACTCGCATGGCAGGCTGATTACCTCCGCTAGACGAACCAGCACCGCGCCCAGCTGCTGCGGCAGACTGCTGGGGCTGGCGCCGCAGCTTCGGTCCAGTACTGCCACGCCCGGCGCGTGTCGGCCCCACGGCGCGTCCCACCGTCACACGCTGGCGCGATGCAGATTCGTGCTAAAGAGGCATCCGACCAAGACCGGCTACCAAGAAAAAAGGCCTTCCAGTTCGATGCAAATTTTGTGCTAAATTTCCTTATGCAAGTGGGTCGACAACATGAAATAATGAAAGGCGTACAAAGGAAGCCGTACTTTGGAACGAGCTTGCTATCTGGCCAACCGGACTCGCTTTCCCACCCATCGCCATTGTCATCCATTCATGGGCCTATGACACTCAGATCCACTGATAATGCCAATAAGGGCGACACTTGTATAAGCTGCCATTCCGCCTTATGCTAAGGTGCAAATAACGTGAGGCTTGCAGCGGTGCCAGCCACGAACCATCCGCATTGTACTCTATTATTAGCGTGTCATCTTCAGTTCTGGCCGCGCCCCGTCTCACCGGGGCGTGTACCGCTCCCGCAGATAAGGCAGTCAGGAGCCAGCTACTTGGCCGCTCTGGCGGAGCCCCCGCCCGAGCGCCCGCGCGCCCCAAGGGGTCTCTGAGCTCAGTAGCGGAGTCTCCTGCAGTGATGGCAGCATTGCCAACTTGTAGGCACCAATTGGACAGCGCTAGCCGAAGGGCTCTAATCGAAATAAAATAGAATAAAAAGAATGAAATGTGCCGATCAGCGAACCTGTTCACTCACCATTTTTGCCGTACTATGGACAGAACGCGCTCACCATGACCTTCAACTCGTTAAAACAATCCAAAAGGTTTGCATAGGTGGCTTTGGGTTCGCAGCACCCACTGAGCATCGCTCGTTGCGTGAGCTCAGAACGCACCACTCTGGTCGTGCCGTCCGGTTGAACGGATAATTATGCCTTCGCTTTCTCCGGACAGAAATGCGACGGGGTTCAAGTGCTTCGGCAATCCGCCGTAATGCTCCGTGTTCAATATTTTGACCCCGCGCGACACCAAATCATTTGCATGCAATGTATCACCACGGAGCCTTAGCCACGTCCCCAAACACCCTTATCTATTCCGAGTATCGGCCACGTTCACGAAAGCTTAAGGGCCGCTGTTCATCTGAATCGGCGCCCGCGTGCAGACAGCGGCCGGCCGGCCGCCGATCACAGCCCCCACCAGTCAGCACAGCGCAGGGTCGCAGTATTGACCTCCCGGTGATCCCAGTAGGCTGGATGATGTCAGAACGGCCTCAAAAACAGACTAATAGACCACAGTCACCTACTACAGACCGTGAAAGGCCACCGGTGACTCGCGGAGGGACCGTCATGCCTGTGTTCAGGACTGCAAACGCAAGCCACCACCACCGTCTGTATTGGCCATCACCGGTACACCATCCGTACGAGACAACTAATCCTGCCAATGGCTTCATAGGTGTGCAATCATACCTGAGCTAAACCTACACAATCCAAGATTCAAGGGACCAACGGACCCATGTGTTGCAATGCGTGCAACGAGGTCAAATACCATCTGACGCAAAGATATGTGCATGACTCGCGCAATGCTGCGAGCATCGAGGCCTTTCACTTAAAACCTAGTAAACAGATACCAGCAAAAACAGAGCCGACAGGGAAGACAGGTCCGCTTTCCAAACAGCAAGGCATGACCAATAACGCCGAAGGTTACAGCCGTCCGGTATAATACTTGCTAATCGTGACGCGCGCTGCCCACTCCAGGCCTGGCACACGCTATGGTGGCCGAAATCGCAACGGATACCATTTTATGACCGGGCTAAACCTATCCAACCGCGGCTTTTGCTCTTATCTCAAAGCCACGCAGCGATCGCCGTCAACCGCCGCCTCCTTTCGCGGACGGCACGCCCGTCAGCACCTCAGCCACGTTTGGCACAACCCGTCGCCGACACGGCAAGCCGTTTCCGACAGCCGGCCGCGACTCCGGGCACGCTCTAGCCATCGGCTCGCTGCCGAGCCGCGTCTCAGTCCGGCAACAGGCACCAACACGGCTCGACAGCGTCCGGCCGTTCAACAACGAAACACGGAATGACAAGCAAACTACACGTACGTGCTTTGGTCTCGGTTGGTGACGGGAGCTATGCGCTTAAACTACGACTGGCACCCTCACAACAGCCCTCGGGAGAAACGATCGCAGGCCGGCACAGGCCCTCTGTCTTCCGAGCACACCCTGGGCTGAATACTGGCACGACGCGCTCCGTTTCCGTACAGATCCGACAGCGCTGAGTATTATGTTGTAAAGTACTGCTAACAACGCGGCAATCGCACCATCAATTATGACAACGGGCAACGCAGCCTCGAATCGCGTCATACTCCAGGAGACAGCGCGACAGGCACGAGGCGGGCCAGTGACTGGCTCAAAATATTACAAAGGCTTGAACAATCGCCGGCTCTCCATGGGGGAGCACCGTCCGACGGGGGTAACAAGGCCTCTCCCGCACTACTCGCGAACGATCGAGGACGGACAGGCGCAAGACGTGGCCCACAATCGCCAGACACGCGGCAAAATACGCGCAAAAGCCACAGCTTTTGATTGATCGGCCCGGCGTACGCCAACTGGCACCAATCTAAATGGTCCGCTAATTGCAAGACCCCAGACGGATTCGAAAGTTCATCCACATTGCCGGTGACACTCGACGCCATTCCGGTGTTACAAGGACTATACTCCGCTACCGCATATGCCAAAATTATTGTACTGATCAGCTTTCAAAAGCGGGACTCCGCGAAAAAACTGGCGTGTCCCACTTAAACTAGCAAATAGCTGAACCGATGGATGCTTCAGATCCAGATAGTGAAAATTGCATTATATTCCAAAACAGTCGTTACGCTAGATAGTCGGCAGCCATTCAATTATATGTAACTGCTTTCTTAAAAGCTGACTCGAAAACTGAATTGGCGTGTTCCTGTTTGATTCGCACGTCCTGACATCACCTGCCACGGGCACCGGTGGCGCCACCTGCACCGGACAGCGCCAGCCTGCAGGCGCCAGGTTGACGCGTGCCAGCCGGGAGCTTATGGCGCTACCTCGCGGCCACGGCACCACCACCAGTAACGAGCACCCCTGGCGCCGGCGGCGCACGTGCGGCGCCGTGCCGGCACGTCACCGCCGTCGCACGGCGCCAGCATGTGACGTCATCACGTGGCGCGGGCGTATTGGCGGCGGTGCTTCTCGTCGATGCCGGTCAGGTAGTAGGTGCCCGGGAAGAGCATGCTTGGGTCGGCCTTGGGCGCGTAGGGAGCTGCGGCACAGGGACGCGCGGTCACACGGTGCCCGCACAGGAGCGGCGGGACGCCAGGCGACCCGCGGCAGCTGTGCGAAGATAGCGAGCGACCGGCGAGTGGTGGTGCTGCAGCATTCAACGAACAAAAAGCACAACGAATCAACAAGTATTTGGTGATCCACAAAATCCCCCAACTGGTACAGCGACGCAAGAAATGCGCTGCCGTAGGGAACAAAACACCTCACAGAAAACCTCGCCGAACTTTTTCGTACGTGTGATTTACATCACTTTAACGATATCCATGAAGATTATGGTGCCCTGGAGCAGCGTCTACCGTCAACCCGGTACAAATATTTATCTCATTTAGCAGTCATTGCATCGGACCTAACTGGCTGGTCACACTTGGTCAGTGTCGCAGATCGCCCTGCGCCTCAGCGCGGAGGGCGTACGACCGGCGGCGGCCCATCCGCTACCCACCCAGGTGGTGCGACTGCTCGCGGAGCTGCATCGTGTCGGCGAATGCGGCCGGCTCCACCTTCTGACGCGCCTCCAGGCGGCCAACCACGTCACTGACGCCCGCCAGCTAGAACAGGAGGGCACCGCGTTACCGCCCGCTCCCACACCGCCCAGCCGCTGAGCCCGTGAGAGCGCCCGGCAGGCGGACACGCGGCGCATCCCAACTCCACCCCGGCACCGTCGCTTCAGCACGGAGGCGAGGCGAGGTGTTGCAGCGAAGAGCGAGGCAGAGCCAGCGGCGGAAGATAGACGAAACAGTGGACAGGACCAAGCGGGGAAGGCAGTCGGCTGTGCGCTGGTGACGTCACGGCGGCGCCCGGCCCGCGCGGCGGCGGCGATGCTGCTAAGAAGGCACGGCCACACCACAGCAGGCCTCGGCTTCGCTGGTTCCGCGTCTCGATGGAAGAGACACATCACCAAATGTCCACATCAGATCTGCACGCTGAACCTACAGTCTCCCTTCGCTGGGCTACATGCGTCGACTCGCGCGCCGGCCGACGCTGAGCGGCGCGGGGTTGTCTCGCGCGAGATGCTGGGGACCACTCCGCGCGACACTGCTCGGCGTCGAGGGCGACCCACGGACGTCACATACGTCGCCAACAGGCACAGCCAATCAGGTCGTGTCACACGTCGGCACGACCTATCTCAAATCCGAGGCGAGAGAAAACGCGCGACGAGATCGTCCCGGGATACGAAGTTCAGAGATGACGTTTGAGGCGGCCATTGTTATGGCTGAAGCATCCGTTCAACGGAGGAAATTTACACCGCCCGCGCGTTAGACGACCAGGCAGGGCACCGACCGAGCGCCGGCTGTGCCACCCGACGAAGCAGCCATTGTCCAGAGCCGCCAGCGGGCCCCGCTCTCGCCGCCCTCCCGCGGCCGCCGGTGCAGTCGCCGCTCAACAGGCCACAAACAGCATGCACTATGAAGCGGCGCGAAGCCTCATTGTTGACGCAACCTCGCTACACCGTTGTTGGGATCCCGTGCCGACAGACGGGTGCTCGGAAGAGAGCAACGCGTAGCTGGCCACTGCTTCGGACCCGGCCCGGTAACGACGGAGTCAGGTCAAGCGACGTTCGGCAGAGCATGCTGTATTTCCCCAAAACTGGGACTGAGTGAGTGGAAAAAGGCGGCTAAGGAATGCCGAGCAACTGCCTCTTACATACCTACCACGGATAGGAAAATTGGACGGACCGACTCTTCGTTAATTCCATCTGAGAAACTACGTTGAAGAGTGTAAAATTGGTGTTTTCAGTTCAGTCAGACGAATGCAAAGCGATCCTGTGTCCAATTCAAAGTGCTGGATTCTTCGTTTCATGAACAAGAATGCGACGACAGAGATGACTGGCATTGAGTTAGCATGCAGCCTTAGCGCCGACTCCCGGCAGTCCAGACGAGTGGACTGGATGGATATCCACATCATTTGTGTCGTCGTTCATGGTGACCGTAGTTCCAGCCACTGAAACGTGACGTTCGGGACAACACGCTTTGCTGTTGTATCTGCAATTGATAATTTACATATATACGGTAATAATGACCCACTTTCTCCGTCCTTCGGATAAGGAGCCATAAGTTTTCCAAACGGAACATTGGTGTTCCATTGCATTAAGTAAATGTTGACTACTCGCAGTGCTAGATTTTTTCACGCGGAAGAATGAACTTCATCACATACGGACGTAGGTGGAAATAAGAGGCTAAAAAAACTACTGAATGTAAGACGCCCTTGATGCCTTTTATGACAGACGTTGGTGGAAATAAGAGGTTAAAAAAACTACTGAATATAAGACGTCCTTGATGCCTTTTCTAGTTAACTGCTTGCCTACGCCAATTTACACATCGTGCATCGGCATTCCGACGGAAGCAACCCAGCACGGGATCAGAGCCCCAGCCGAACCCCCGGGCGCACCGACCACCCGTTTCGACGTTTGCCGCCTGTCACACTGCAGCACGTGCGACCCCGCGCCGCCGTGGGAACCCCTCCAACAGCAGCGGGCGGGCAGGCGGGCGGGACGGGACGTTCCGTCCGCCGCCCTTCACTTGACCTAGAGCGGGCGCGGCGGGGCGCGGCGCGACTCGCCGGGTGGCATCCGCCGGGGAACCGGCCCCACCCGGTACCGCTGATGCAAACAAGCCCGGACAAAGGGGCGCCGCACACCGCCGCCGCCACCGCCGCCGCTGTACACAGGACGCGCTATTCGCGGCACCAAGGTCGGCAGTGACAACGGCGGACGGAGGCGGCAGGCCCCGACCCGTCGAGGAGCTCGGCGGCACTCGCGGCCGCCCGTTCTGCATAGCTGCCGTTTCAAGAGCGGGCAGGTATGAGGAAAGGGATATGCAGTTTTTTTTAATTGATCCGCTGCCAGCGGCTTGTCCCGCCAGTCTCGCTGGTCGTTGTCACACTGCGTGGCCCCGCTCTGGTGCCGCCTTCTGCCACCCATTACTGTCTCTTGGAGCCCATCAGTTCTTGTCCAACAACTTGACAAACACTTTCGACTACGTAGGCTTTCACCCTCTGCGTTCGTGGCGTCTTGGGGTGTTTGTCATTCTCATACCATTTTCCTTGTTATACCCTACATACAGTACAGAAACACACATCGAATAAATTGTAAACGCGTGAGCTGTTCTGAACCGCCAAACTCACCAATGCCTCCAGGCGAGATCCGGATCCATTGGTGGTGGCAATCCGGATCGAAAACAGTGACGACGCCAGTCCAGATCCGTACGAGAAGAGCGCTATCCGACTCCCCGTCAGCTCGTCGGGCTTTTTGCTGAAACCAATCAGCCTGCGTTCAACGCCATTTACCGATAGCTATTGCGTAAAGGTGCGAGCGAATCTGTCCACACTCGAGAACGATCACTTATTCCAGTGAACAACATTGGTGAGCTTTGCATCTTTAAAAAGCCACGCGGAAAAGTCCTTGAACACTTAACTTAAGCTCCATTGCTCTGCATTGCCACAGTTGTGTTAGCCACGGCTCGGGCGTTCGCTGCTGCTGGAAACTGGAAACTAGCGTGTAACTTGTAACACGAGTGAGAGCGTTGCAAATTACCAGGGCTTTCAGCACATTTTCTAGTAATCAAGAGCAGTGTGAAGGCGCTCACCTGACCAGCAGCGAGACGAGACAGCTGTACAGCGAGGGCGTGTACATGTTGCCCACGTTGGAGGCCAGCAGCAGCGACGGCTTTGTCTTCTGCTCGAACTGCGCCCGGCTTCGCTCCATGAAAGCCTTCTCCACGTCGCGGTCGAAGTAGCTCTCCTCCAGCGTCTTGCTCCTGGGCGCAGCACTCGTTTGACTGAGCGGGGAATCATGCCAGCTCCAGCGGCCGGGTCCATCCTGAGAGTGGCAGTGCCACCCTGGCCGCGCTCGCCTGGGCATCCGGCGCAAAACTGCCGTGATACCAACCAGCACGGATTACGGAATGGGGTGCTCGACGTAACACACGCATCGTTCCCCACGTCCTGGCCGCGTCGGTAACCTAGGCGACTTCGGGTCGACGGACAGCCGGCCACTGGACGTGATCAACACGTCCCAGTTCGCTCCCGTCCACCTCTCGGAGCGTCTCAATCCGCCACCCCCCCCCCCCCTCCATGACCTGAGCGCCTCTGCTGTCGCCCGCTGACCACAGCGTCTCACCGCGCTGCGGTTCACTAACCTGAACGCCTTCCAGTCCGGGGAACCGCTCGGGCACGGCGGCGGCGTCCGTCTCGAGGAAGTCATTGAAGACCAGTCTGGCCAGCGACTTCTGCACCAGCTTGCCGAACGGCGAGTGGAAGAGAACGGCGTCGAAGGAGTCGACCGTCACTGGACCGCCGCCTGAAAAGAAGGAGTGCGTCAGCTTGTTTCGCCACAGCGCGCCCACTCCAGATATCCAGCCCCACCACCGCCGCAGCACGAAACATTCGGACCATCCAATCTCGACACGGAATACGGGGGGCTTCGTCCATCACACTCATACTTTGGAGCACCGGCGCCAAACGCCGGAAAATGGGCATTGCAAGCATAACACTGCAATGTTGAGTAATAAACAACCTTGGAAGCCGCGGCTCCAGCGCCGGAATGACGCCCTCGACCCCAGCAGTAAATCGTCTGGACGACGCAACGGCCCGTGAACGGATACGCACACATCGAGTGCTCACAAGGCGACTCCATTCCGTGTATTTTCTATCGATTACCGCTTATTTCAGCGCTCCAGAACATGGCCGATCGGTAGGTTTATATTTATTCCATTCTGTCCCTTAGAATTGAGCACAGATTCCACTGCACCAATTCGGCAAACACATCCACTTGCGCCGCCATCCATTTCTTGCCCGAGCTGTGACACTACACCCTGGCTTCAACTACGTCATACCATCCGTTTCTTCGGGACTTTCCCAGCACGAGATCGTAGCTCGCTCGCAAACATCCGGTGTTTGCCGCAGAACGGTCGGACAAAAACCGCACGCCTGCTAGGGAATGCAATGGCGCACGCCTGCTAGGGAATCCACCGGCGCGAGGAATTGCTGTGCTGCTGGCAGCTGCTGTACAAGCAGCTACAGCGCCGGATTGTTGACACGAGGGGAAAACATGGCATGTGATAACAAACCCAAAGGTCAGCCTGCGTGTTAACTTTGTTATGCGTTTTGCTGTGTGTCACATCTGGCTGTCGCGTTTTCTGAGAATACCAGCTCGTGGATAATGCTGCCGGACAAGCCTGATGGTTGCTGCAACTGGACTTCGCTGATCGGGCTACGGGCCGACACTTTGGATATTCCAACAATGGTGTCAAATACAAAACGTTTATAGAGCTTTTGGCCAGACATAACCATATCGAACTGTGAGGATATCAATGGCAAACCAATACAAAATGCAAACTGATTGCTGTCCGTCAATGGTACCATCGTTGCCGCGTCAACATAAATACATACATGTGTATGAGTGCGATGGCAGCCAGTCCCAGTGAGCACGGCGGCTCTCTAAAGGCGTAAAAGAAAAGAAAATGTTTGATGCTAGTGCTGGAGACATCATTATCCGCCATATCGCAGATCTCACGCATGCAAAATAGCAGCACCTTTAACCACCGCTGCGACAACATCCACAAGGTCGTACCAGCGGCCAGACTTGATGACCCATTCCCCGACTGAGTTTCCCCGCGCGCATGCCTCTAACGGCCCACCGCCTTACGCGCGTTCCGTCCATTTCCGGCGGTCGTGGCCGGCGCGCTGACGCCCTCCGACCTTGCGGCGCGCCATGGCGCGGGTACGCGGCGCGCGCCGGCCGGTCAGTGAACCCAGCCGAGACGATTACGATCCGGGAAGGCGCGGAATCGCCGCGGCTGCGTCCGCGCCGCTCTGGAGCGGTCACCGCCGGCGGCGACCGGAGAGTAACGGCACGGCCGCACGGCGGGAGGCTGGGGTCGGGAGCGGACTGGCGCCGATCGGGCCCTGGCGAAATCGACTCCGACGGGTCCTTGCCGCTCAGGGGTCGATGGAAGCTCACTCAACGCAGCGCTGTGTCACTTGATATGACCCCGAAATCATTTCAGGAGGATGCGGTGCCAATCTTGAATGACTCTCACTGAGTAGTAATAAAATATCAAATAGATTCCGGTTGTAATGGTGAGAGCCACAGGTTTTATAGGTTGTAACTATAAAGCCACCTTTACGGGGAGCATGGGTGCCTACATGCAAACTTTGGTTTCGTGACCAGAAGTAGACATGTGACATGGTTTATTTGCTGCCCACGTGGCTTGTCTGACTTCAAGCATCTGCCACACGACATATTTGCTGGAGTCCAGTGATTGATGACAAACCTACATAAACGGTTCATCTCTTACTCCACCTAAACAAAATACCAAGTGAAACCACTCCATGACACAACCTGAGCTTGGTTCATTCCAGGTAGGTATCTATGGTGGGTATCCTAGAGCGCAGGGCGACACGCGCAGCCGAAGCAGTGGAGGTCACTTTGTAAGTGTTTACTGCCTGTCTCCAAGTGATAGATGTCACGGGCATTGTGAAGCCGGCAGCCATTAGCGAGATCTGACACTAACGACTATAGAGTGAGGCAGACGCCTTCGCCTTTGAATAGTGCCTAAGGTTGCCAGCTTCCAGTATATTGCAATCGAATTGTGTCATAAAGAAAAAAACCGCAATACTTTTGGCCAATGCCCCGGACCACAAGGACGGGACATGGCAAAGCACCTATTAATAATCACACTGCTTATGTTAAGTCACTGATTTCAGTTGAAAAATCGCTATCCGCCTTGTCACAGGAGGGGAAAAAGGGGCCAAACTCGAATCATATGACACTCTTCCTCGCAGCATGACACATTGCAATTGCAAGGTGTTGTTATTCGAGCCAACGAATTGGGAACCATTTTCCGAAAACAGTCGCAAGAAAAGTTTGCATGCCGGATGTTTCGTTTCTCGAGCAAGGTTGTACCAAACCTCAAAGGCACAAATGGATCGCGCAAAAAGTGTGTTATCTACCGGAAAGCAACGTGCGTCGGTCGCAACATATTGTTTCTGTAGGACGATACGATCCCAGGTCATTCATTCCGGATGACCCGCTTCCTGTTTTGAGCGACACGACACCCCAAAAGGACTGACGCAATAAATAATGACAAGTTATTTTAACGTCGCGAATCCATTAAAGCATGTGTATTCCAAAAGCTGACGACATACTGCAACTACAAAAAACACCCTCCAGTGTACAGGACCATTACGCCATTATCAATGTTGTTCAGGGTAATTGTACGCTTCTACCAACCCCCTCGCACCACTGGGGCACGGCTGGTTGATAGCAAAGACCAGCGGGCACTAGCTCCCACTAGTGCTGATTTCCCACGGTGTTATGAGGTCAATAATCTAAGCAATTTCTTGAAGTAATCAACCGCATAAGGTAATTCATGGATTTAAACAATCAACAATCACCGATCAAACACAAAGTGGAACTGATCAAGCGATAGGCGATAATGGCTTTCACCTACACAACACGCAAGATTATTTGAAGGACATCCAAATCTGTCCGGGCGAACGCACTGGAAGTCCCTCCTCCCCCCCCCCTCCCAAAAAAAGTAAATCTCGCGTGTGCAATATTTGATAGCCCGCTGGAACACTCCTAGTTGAGCAGCCGGCCGACCATGCCGGCGGCTGCGTGACCCCTCCGGACCAGGGAGCGCTGCTGAATCCCGCGAGAGCGGTCACCGCTGGCCGCCGGGAGGGGACCCACCTGGGAGGGCCGCTGCCTTCTGGCGGTAGCGTCCGTAGCACCGGTCCAGCGCGCTCAGGTAGCACTGGATGCTGAGCCGGCCGTCCACCACCGGGTACTCGGAGTTCAGGTCCGGCTTGTAGAAGTCGTATGCGTGCTGCATGTGGCTGGAGCGCAGACCTGCGGGCGGCAGCCGGAGCGGGCCGCTCAGCCGGGCACTCCGCGACGAGGCCAACTCTGCACCGCACAGAGCGGGCGCTCCGTGACAAGATTACCTCTGCACCGCACCGAGCGGGCGCCCCGTGGCGAGACCAACTCTGCGCCGCACAGAGCGGGCGCTCCGTGACGAGATCACCTCTGCACCGCACAGAGCGGGCGCTCCGTGACGAGATCACCTCCGCACCGCACAGAGCGGGCGCTCCGTGACGAGACCAACTGCACCGCACAGGGTCGGCTGACGCCGCCGCACATAGTCAGCTGACTGCACAGCATGGCTCCTTGACGCATCCGCACATGCTGCTGACGCTAACGCACTGCCGCCTAGTCAAACTCCCTCGACTCCGACAATATCCCTCATCACCCAAACAGGCCTGCATCGGAGCGAGTTCAATGCAATGCCGAGTCTGCAGACACGATTCAACTGAAACGACCGGCTACGGACACACCTCAGTCAGGTGCAAGCCGCCGGCCGCAGACAAACAAGCCCTGGCCCAGCGCAAACGACAGCCGGCCCAGGGGCAATCTCAACCACGCCCGCACCGTTTGTCAGACGTACACATCGTGTCGGGGCCGACGGCCGGCCGCCGACTCACCCCGCTCGACCACCAGCGGCGCGTGCGGTCCGACCAGCATGGCGACGGCGCCGGCGCCGCCGGTGGGCCGCGCGCTGCCCGTGGCGTAGACGGCGATGTCGCCGCACACCACCAGCGCCAGCCGGCCGTCCCAGGCCGACGACTCCACCCAGTTGAGCGCGTTGAAGAGCGCCGCCGTGCCGCCGTAGCAGGCGTTGGTCGTGTCGACGCCCTCGATGTCGGCGGCGGCGCTGGCCGGGAACAGCTGCATCAGCACGGACTTCACCGACTTGGACTTGTCCACGAGCGTCTCCGTGCCCACCTCCAGCCGGCCGATCGCCTCGTACGCTGCCGGGGGACGAAGCGCTCAGGACGGCACAGTGCGCTGGCAGGATGGGGCGCGCGCGTTGGGCACAGGCGCGAAACATATGCCCAGTCCACGAAACTCGACCATCGTGAGGTAATCAAGCTAAAGTGGTCTACTGATGCCATGCAAAACGCCGGTTAGGCGAAAAGCAGTCCGAAGAAACAACGTCTGTCTTTCTAGATGCAGCCATGGATTTCTACAGACATCAAATTATCCGCGGAAGCCAAAGGAAATTGGAAATCCTTTGACGTCACGAGGCGGCGTCGGGCGACTCACCAGTGCCAGTTTTCTCCATGAGTTTGTGGACCACTGTCATGCACAGCGAGTTGATGTCCTCCAGATCGGAGCAGAAGCCCATGCGCTTCTGGCCCAGACCGATGGTGTATTTACCGGCGGACGCGCCATCAAATGACTCCAGCTCTGCAACCCGGCTGCAGTTAAAGACTGGTCAAGCTCCCAGCAGATGATGACAGAACAATATGCATGTTAGCAAACACGAATGACATACATGGACTGAAGCAGCTGCCAGCGGGCAAGAGATCCGGCGGCTAAATCAGAGGTTAGCAATGAAGCAGTACACCTTGTCTTTAGATACATCAATACAACAGCCAATTCGACGGCATACTTATCGACACATCCACCGCCGTACCTATCCACACGCCCCAGTCATGTAATCCTTTCAATGCCTCGAAATACGTATCATGTATTACCTTCCTGGTCGACATACTGGGACGGGAAATATATTTCAATGGCAGTGATGCCGACATCCGCTGGCCACTGTCCTTGTCCTGACGTCATTGCGACAGTCTGGAACAAACAAGACGGCTGATTTGTTGCGGTCTACACATGACACTTCGCGGCTTCACTGGAAGGACGAGACGCTAAGTCATGACAGACAGGTCAACTATGAACCCAGTGCTCAGGCAGCGCCTGCCGCCGTCTCGTTGGTCGCGAGCCTCTTCGACCACGGCCGCATCTCCGACTGGCGTCGCCGCTGACCTTGAAGACGCGTCACGATCGATGGTGCGTTGGAGACGCAGCGTCGTCGGGACCTGGCAACCGCTGACGCCGCGGGGGAGAGGCCCGCCCGGCACGCCCCCGCCACCGCTGACATGTTGGGGAGGGGCCTGCTTGCGTCCCCCCCCCCCCCCCCAGCTATCGATCACACCAGCCAACTCGCTGCATACGTGTACCCTGCCCCCTCCCTCCCGGCGGTGCAAGGGGCAGCCTAACTGTATTCGGGGTCCCATCGCGGCTGGACCACCCCACACACAACGGCGAACTGCCGCACACGACGTCGACAGAGAGACTCTGTCTATGCGCCCCCAGCAGCACCTCTTATACTACTTTGGAGCCCACCCACAGCACGATCGGCTTGCGACTCGCCGGCGCCACCGCGTCCACGGGTTAACGCATCACCCCTGAGCCATGACTGTTTCCCTATGTTAACACTGTCCCAGGGTGTGATCCATTGCCACATTCGGTCCACCGATACACTAACTCATCCAAGATCCTGCTGACATCTAGCAATGCACTTACACATCATGGAATGACCCCAGACAAACATGTCAATATCAAGACATGACCACAGGCAGCTTGATGTAAAATCAACTTTGGCACAGTAATCATGCCAGATATTGAAGAAATGTCCTGATTTCAGTGCATCTACAGGCATTCCCACAACACAAAACATGCAGCTGCTCACAAACTTTAAATGCTCCAACTCATTTTCACTTAACCTATTGATAGGATAAGTTTTTAGTGAAAAAACTGTGATGAAACTGCCAGTGGAGAATGTAATGCATTTATCAGTATCCACTCAGCTCAGAATATGTATGAACAAATTCTGATGAATGAAGGGCAAAGAACCAGATTTTCAAAGCAATAATGACCTTTCGGCATTGCATAATACAAGCAAATAATTTTCTACTTGCATTGTCATGTTCCTGAGCAAGAGACTCAATCAGGCTCCTCATTACCAAATTGCTTTCAGGTGGTTTTATGGTATGGAAAAGTTTGGACTTGCAGTACATATCTCAATTCTATATCTCCATTTTCCCAGTTTTTGTCTGAGGAATACAGCTAATGCTACTGTCTTATTTAGCAGTATTTCTGAACATTTCTTCTGCCACATTAGAAAAGTTTAGAGCTATCAGTTTGAGAGTATATCATATGACAAATATGATGGTTTTGACAGTTTTGAGTTCAATGTCTTAAATAATTTGGCATGCACACAGCTTTCAAAACATTTTTAACAATGGTTTTCCTTAACTCTTAGCTTTTTCTTAGTATCACATGAAGTTATGGGCTTCGCACAATGATAGGTAGCAGAGGAAGGGCATATTTGATGCATAATGTAGTGGCTGGAAGAAAAGTTAAATGCAGCAATGTTTTAAGCAATTAAGCTTCATATGGATTTCAGGCATTTCACACAAGATTGAGTCTTTTTTTAATGCTCTGGTATACAGTATGTTCTGAAAAAAACTTTATGGAAAAAGTGCAGCACATCATATAAAAGGCATCATACTTTTCTGAGAAGCATCTGCCACTAAGGCATTGCAAACATTTGTATGCATATAAATTATGAGAAAAACAAGACAAAGACCCAGGAAGCAGAATGAGTGCTTTGGTAATAACACAACTTTTTCATAAAAGTGTCAAGACAGGGGCTAAGTCAACCACATGCAGTTTATAAGAACATGCATCCAGCTAGATTATCGCAAGACCAATCTCAATCTATTTCTTGCTGCAGGGCACCAAATGGTTGCTCGCCCGTTCTCGGTCCCAAACCATTGTCTGGCTTCTTATTGTATCTACACACCCAGTTAGGACGCCTTGGTCGTTCAGCCGGTATGAAGCCTTTCTCCAGCAGACGCTTATAGACTTGGTCCAATTCTGCTGATACGAAGCGGTGCCTTGCTGTAAGCCTGCCAGTACCTAACGTAGCCTGAGTCCAACCCCACAACCTCGTCCCTCAGCGTCCCACGACCTCCTCAGTGCTTCACCTAACCATTACCGGCACGAACACCTCACACGCGCGCCGGCTTCCGCTAATATACGGGGCCTCCAACCTGAAACACACGGTCATGGTCAAGGCTTTCACTGTGTTACGCAATTGTTTGGCAGCACCGCAAAGTACTCCTACTAAACGACCGCCTTCTACGGTACTTGTTCTGCCCGACAAACAAGCAGGACACTTTCCCTCTTGGATCACGCAGTAGATCAGCGCAGGAGATATCGTTCAAGTACTGTAGGATTGAAATCCGATGAAAGAGTTCTTTATCATTAAACCGAGGCATGACGGCGCTCTTTAGGCATAAGTCAGGCAAATGATGAGTGCAAGTGATACATAATGTGCTCAAACGATTTTGGACCGATATTATGACCGCATACAATCAACGAAAGGAAAATAAATATCAACTAACGTAGCCCTTGAAACAATTTTAGAATAAATCATGTAGAATGTGTTGTGCGAAAAATGAAGCAAAAATGTCATGCAGCTTCAAAGTCGCCTGAAATTTTATCAGAGAAATCAGTTCTGTTGGCTTCTGTTAATCTGATCACGCTCTTGTTTTCAGGTTTTCGACAAATCTCTGAAGGGTACACAACCACCAAAAGGAACTACGTCATTCTGCCTACGGGTGGGAGCTACCAAATTTCAAGCGACTGAAACTCTGGTATAGAATTGCAAAATCGCCCCACTGCAGCGCTGCATAAAAGTAATCGGCCTGAAATATCATATGTGGTCTATTTTAGCAATAATCTAAATAAATATTTACGCGAACCTGATGATTTTACCGATAATTTATTCCGTATCTTTGAGATTTTTTCTCTCCGCTTTCCAATCATCGAAATCCCGCGCGCTAAATTTGTAATATATGTGGATTTCTGCGTGGGCTACGCATCGCGATAAAGCATAAACTACGGTGTTGTCACGCACTGCGGCTCGCTGCGCAGGTAATGCGCGTAACTAATGGGGGCGGAATGCCTTTCAAGAGCCTCGACTCTTGCGTTATAGAAGAAAGCAGCGTAGAACCGTTTTAAAGTTGCCAGATGAGTCATGTACTCCTTTAATACTCTAGTTACTAGGTTTTATGTGCATGTCAATAGCATTGGTTTTTTGTGCTCCGTTGAGTGCTCATCAAATATTCCCAGATGCCCATTCCTAATGTTTACGTGAAGTTAGCGCGTGTAACCTAGAGGACATGTGCATCAATTTTGGGCCAATCCAAATCGTGTAAAATGCTCAACTTTTATCTACTTGAAAAGTGTTCTGTGATAGTTTTGCTTGAAATTGCAATTGTAGCATCCAAAGTGTTCATACATGGGCTCTGTGCACTTAAGTAAGCTGTCAGCTCACTAGACTTGGACTTGCTGAGTGACATGCATGTGCTGGAATTGTTGCTTTTGTTCCTAAACCCAATTTGTTCTATTTTTAATTTCTTCCATTTTGCCTGAGTTTACTCAAACTCAAATTTTGACCTCTGCCATAGGAATAAGGGGCCAGCAGGCAATGGGATATGTTCACACACAACATGTGCCTAAACAACAGAAGCGAGTTACACACATTGACATTTTTAGACATTGTACAAGCACAATGGAAGTAGAATGAGGTAAAGGGTGGATAGCATTGAAGTTGAAAAGCATTTTAAGTTCCACTCATTTTCAAGAGGTAGTTTTGCTACAGTCCTCAAAACATATGCACCACTGGACAACAAATTACTAAATTTTCTGCACCAACCTTAAGCAGGTGCATGTCAGACTCAGTTCATGCCAAATAGCTCTAGAATTCTGCTTTACAAACTGCTCTTGAGGCATCTTCACTTAAAGTTACAATGAATGCATACTTTTTCCTGGAGGCACTGCTTCTATGCTCTGAAATTTTTGGTGGTGAGTGCCAAACCTAGCAGATTGTGATATGCTGCATATATGCCGTGAAACTTTTGTTTCGATGAGGTCACCATCAGCGTTCTGGTGTAACATGGATTTTTAGCTGTCTGGCTGTGGGAAAATATGTCCTTGCACTGGCATGTAGTGATGATGTACATAGTGACATGTATTGAAGCCTGTTTCAAAATTTCTGTTAGGATGCAACTTTGTGATCTTGTAAGACATGTGGCACAAAACCCCTGCATTTGCCGATGACTGACAGCTTTAGCTATCTACTTCTTGACTTATATCTGAATTGGCCTTCAACATGACACTGGAATCACACCATTCATGACCCTTTATTTGTGCAATGCAAGGCTGTTACATTCCAACACTTCAAACTAGAATCACTGCATTCTTGATCTGGGAGAGATGTCAAATTAGTTGTCAAGCACCACTGTTACAGGTTCTCAGGACGAGTGTCATATTAATCTTGAGTCATATTTAGGGGTCTATTGGGTGCTAGCCAACAAGGATCAACCAAAATTTGGTTTTGCAGCATTTTGTAGCATGTTAAACCCCCTTCTGCAGTCCTGTTTGATAAAAGGTTGGAGACAAAAGTATGTGTTGAGTTGGGAAGAGAAACCATCCTTGTGTGCCTTTCATGAGTATGTCAAGCTTTACATCTTGAACCTGGCATTAAACTAGTAAGGAGTGCATAATCCAGTGACCCAGACACTTGTCAGACTGGGAAAAAGCACCCATCTTGTGCTGTGATTTAGTCTCAAGTACTGCATGGACAGGAATACTTCTGTGAGCCCCCACCCCCACCCCCACCCACCATTCACACCCCACACCCACACCCACATCCACACCCACACCACCACCACCACCACCATCCTCACCACCACCCAACTGACTCACACCACTTGACTCTTAGCGCGGTCGCTGCCATCGGCTGCAAGCCATTCCTATCAAGGGCAACTTGTGCTCACACGTCCTGCCTTTTCACCGCGCCCTATGGCACCGCATCTAAGCGACTACAATGGCGTCGGAACCAGAGTCCACTCACAATTATGCTATGCCACCCGGAGTATAGTCAAACCAACCCCACTGGCTGTGATTGAAAGTTTTAATCGATTCCGTCGGAGCGAAATCAAGCGCAGGCATGTCTATGACACGCCTTTGTCTGCAGGATGGCATCGATGGAAGACGATGAAATAATTGACGGCAGTGGCGATGAGCAAGAAGATATAACACCAGCGGATATCCTTCAGAGGTTGAGACAGGTTCGTCTCAAAAGGCATCCATGTTCACACGCAGTGGCACCATCGCCTAGTTTTACTTTGAAAACAAGTCGTCATATGGGCTTCTAGTGACTTTCCCCCCCCCCCCCCCTTATTTTCCCCCAGTGATATTGCCGACCTGGTGAAGCCGGCTGGCGCACAGTGACGTCGAGATGCTTGTTGCCTGGTCTGGTCTTAATGTGCCAATGTCGGCAGAATGGCGTCGTATAACCTGGTTATTGACCGCAATGGTATAGCTTGTGCTCGGCTTCAGGGGTCCCTGCGACAAGGGGCGTAAGGTTTGTGGGCGCTAAGTGACGAATGATTGGGCTACAGTGCTGTAAATCCAGTCTTAATCTGCTGTCAGGGTGATCTCGCAGTTTCCACTGTTTCTCTGGGACGTTCACAGGCTCGGCAGATGTGCCGCATTGTGGGTTCGATGTACGTGACATCTTCCATCATAATAGTAGGTCTTCACCTGCACTGTTTCAGTCGTGGATAGACGAGCGGATGTGTCCCGAGCTGTTGGAATACGACGGCGATGTCGTGGACTGCATGCTGGACCAGATCCATCAGATGGAGGCCAACCTGAAGCGGGTCAGCAAGACGGATTTCAAAATATCCATCCACAAAATGGAGGTGAGCGAGAGGTGGCACGGAAACATGACCTCGTCAGTCATTGCCACTACCCAGCCGTGATATGACGGTGACAAAGGGCGATTTATGCACATCACGCACCAGTGCTCGGCGGATTTGAGGACGATGACGACTGTCAGCCGGGTCAGCCGCCTTGGTGCGGGGACGCGGGCGGCGCACTGATGTGCCCGCCGCCGGCCAGGTGGACCGGATCCGGTACCTGATCGCCAGCTACCTGCGCTGCCGACTGCAGAAGATCGAGCTCTACCACCGCCACCTGCTGGCCAGTGAAGAGCTGCGCCGCCGCCTGTCACCCGAGGAGCTCAAGTTCGCCACAGAGTCAGTCGCGCCGTCATCATGACTCACGCCCGTGTCGCACCGGCAGGGTTAGCCTGGATAACGTGTTTTCTGATGCATACGTAGAGCATGTAAGACTCAGTTTGCTAAGTCATCAATTCAGCTGTTATCGATGGGTTTACCTTCGCTATCCGCTGACCCGGCAACCGCAACGCCAAACGACGTAGTGAGCACGGCCCGATGGGGCAGCTCGGCCGGAAGTGCTCATCCCCACGCCCTGAGAGCACCAGCAGCGGCTCGCCGGCTCCCTCACGCCGTCGCCTGGTGGGCGCAGGTTCCAGGCGGGCCAGGAGAGCCACTTCCAGGAGGTGGCGCTGCGGCACATGCCGTCGAGCGGCGCGTCAGCCTCGCAGCCCGAGTCGGGCTCGGAGCCGGCGCCCAGCGCCGAGGGCAGCCGACTGGGCGCGGCCGAGGCCACGGTGGCGCCCAGCCTCGACGCGCACGTCTACCTGCGGGCCGACGTCGACTGCGTCGGCGTGCTCATCGCCGACGAGGCCGGCGACTCCAGGTCTGTGGATCGGAGAGATGGGGGTGAGAGGGGCAGCGTGCGGCTCCGGGATATTGCAGGGGAGCTGGACAGCAGCGGAAGGCTGGTACGGCAGGTGACAAGCTATTGTAGTTGTGTAACACCGGGAGATGCAATAAACGCGCAATACCATGCTAGTCAAGGCTTTTGTGAATGGTAGAGGCCGATTTATTGCATCACCACCGGCCAAGCCGGTGTGACCAGACGCGATGCACGGGCCAGACCAGAACAGACGGGACCAGTGTGATGTCTGCGGACGCCCCGCGCCTCGCTTACCGAAGGGCCTGCGGTCCTCCATGGCGTCACTACATCTGTTGATGTTCCAGGACGGAGGAGCTGGACCTGGTGAAGGGCTCGCAGTACCTGTTGCGATACGAACCCATCTCCAAGCTGCT